TTGGTGAAGTAGTCGATCGCGACCACCAGGTACGTGTTGTTCCCTGTCCCCCGAGGCAAAATGCCGACCAGATCGATGCCCCAACGAGCAAAGGGAATCGCCGTACTTATCGGGGTGTAATTCGTCGCCGGTCGCCCCGGCACCCTCTGGAACTCCTGGCAAACCTTGCATTTGCGCACATACTCTGCACAGTCTCTAATAATCGTTGGCCAAAAGTATCCTTGTAGGGTTACCTTCCTGGACATCGTGAAGGCTCCCTGATGTGCTGAGCATATTCCCTCATGGATTTCCTCCATTAACTTTTATGCCTCACCCGCTCTTAAGCACCTCAACAATGTACCATTATACGATCGCTTGTACAGACGACCGCACTCCAGCGTGTAGCCGGGTGCACGTCGCTTCACCACCTTTGCCGCGATTGGGTCGGCAGGTAGCGACCCGTCAAGGATGTACATGGTAATCTGATCAATCCAATCCGGCTTTTTTTTTGAGTGCGATGATCAGCACCTGGCCGGGACTGATGCTTGGCTCGAGCAACTCTTCTTCTTGGGTCATTGCCTTAATATGATCCGGGGAATCCGGACCAAGTTTCGACAAGATATCTGCCTCAGCGTTCTCTTCCCAAGGGACCTGCTCTATCCGGTATGCCCCAAATGCTTTAAGCAACTCCAGGGCAGTGTCTCTATACTTCTTCATTCGTTCATCCTTAGCCTCAAACTCTCCAGTGACGTGGCCTACTAAGAGCTTAGAATCACACCGGACTTGGATCCGTTCAGCTCTTAATGAGGCTGCCAACCTTAAGCCACAAAGTAATGCCTCGTACTCGGCCTCATTGTTCGAGACTTTAAATCGGAACCTCACAGAGTAGTAAGCTTTGAACCCTTCTGGTGATATCACCACGACTCCTCCCCCCGAAGCATCAGTCGCGGACGATCCATCGGTGTACACAGTCCACCAACTTCCTTCGGGTTCCTCTCCGCTAGGTCCTACTTCTCTTGCGGTGCATTCTACCACGAAATCTGCTAATGCTTGCCCCTTTATCGCCGGTTGCGGCTTGAACTCTATCTGGAAAGACCCCAAGAACACCCCCCACTTGCTGACCCGTGATGGGGCATTTGGGCTTCGAAGAAGTGTTCCAATAGGAATCTGTGATAACACGTGGACCGGATGGGCTTGAAAATATGGGGTAAGCTTTTTTACCGTACATACCACCGCAAAGATGGTTTTCTCCATGTTTGTATATCTCAGCTCCGCCCCTCGTAACACCCGTGCCACATAATATACTGGTCGCTGCGCGCCCTCCTCCTCCCTCACTAGCACTGAGCTCACAGCTCGAGGAGAGATTCCTAAGTATAAGAATAAGGTCTCTCCGGGCTCTGGCTTCGAAAGCACCAGCGGGGAGAGGAGGTATGCTTTCAACCCTTCAAAGGACCGTTGACATTCTTCGGTCCAGATAAACCCTCTGCTCTTCTTGATGGTCTGAAAGAAAGGAGCCGCTCGATCGGCTATCTTTGACAAGAAGCGACTGAGAGCTGCAATCCTGCCAGTCAGCTGCCGGACCTCCTTCACATTCCTCGGAGGTTCCATTTCTAAGATTGCTTTCACTTTCTCTGGATTAGGCTCAATTCCCCTCCGACTGACCATGTGTCCTAGGAACTTGCCCCCCAGAACCCCAAATGTACACTTCTTAGGGTTAAGGCGAAGCTGGAACTTCTTCATGATCTTGAACACTCTCTCCAGGTCGCCGGCATGGGACTCAACCCGTCTGGACTTGACAATCATGTCGTCCACATATGCTTCCATGCATCCCCCCAACACTGGCGCGAACAACTTGTTCACCATCCGTGCATAGGTCGCCCCAGCATTTTTCAAACCAAAGGGCATCACCTTGTAGCAGTACACCCCGCTGGGGGTAATGAAAGCGGTCTTCTCTTCGTCCGCCACGGCCATCTTGATCTGATGGTATCCGCTGAATGCATCCATGAAACTCATCAGCTCACATCCTGCCGTCTCATCAACCAACTGATCAATGTTGGGGAGAGGAAAAGGATCCATCGGGCAGGCTTTATTTAGATCAGTATAATCGACGCACATCCGCCAGGTATTCCCTTTGGGTGCGAGGACTACGTTTGCAAGCCATTCCGGGTAACGGACTTCCCGGATGTGCCCAATGGATTGCAGGGTGGTCACCTGCTTGGTGACAAACTCTCTCCGTTCTGAGGAAAGGAAACGCTTCTTCTGTTTGACCGGCTTGTGGGTCGGATCTACTGCCAATCTATGGCAGATGATCTTTGGGTCGACCCCTGGCATATCCTCTGGCCCCCAAGCGAATAGCACTTTGAATGCTCGGAGGACCTCCAATAACTG